GGTGTAGATGGAGAACAATCCCATCAGCAGGATGATGTACCGTCCTTGGAAAATCATTTTCATGATCTGTGGACAGGAGGAGGGAGGCAGAGGAATCTTAAAAGACGGGGATCTTCCTTACAGGAGAATCTATGCAGCTCAGGGGCTGAACTGGTGCTCTGGGCGTTTCATGCCCCAACTAGGTAACGCCATCAGTGCTAGAAGGGTGTGGGGTTGGAGGAGGAGAATTTTTTTTCTTTCAAGCAGCAAATGAACCCGAAGAGCACCAGCCACACAAGAGTCCAGGTTTTTCCGTACCTCGTCTTGCGACCTCATAAGCTTGGGGTGTTTTTCATACAAAATCATGACGAGCGCGAAGAGGAACATCAGGAAGCCGTGTCCGCAGTCTCCAAACATCACGGCGAACAAGAAAGGGAAGGTGATGATGGTGAACAGAGCTGTGGAATTCACAGGTGTTTAATTGTTGCACTTACACGCTGCCCATCTCACTGTCAAGAGCAGTGGTCTCCAACCTTGGCAACTTTAAGACTTGTGGACTTCAACTCCCAGAGTTCCTCAGCCAGCAAAGCTGGCTGAGGAACTCTAGGAGTTGAAGTCCACAAGTCTTAAAGTTGCCAAGGTCGAAAACCACTGGTCAAGAGAGAGTCCCTTCCCCAATGTGCACGGCTGGCTGGGGAATTCTGGGAGATGGAGCCTGCAAGTCTTAAAAGTTACCAAGATTGGACACACACACACCCCGCTGTACAACACCGTGATTCTTTCGCTAACACAAAACCCACTTGAGTTCACAAGGCCACAGGAAAGGGAAGGCAGGTCAGAGTGTACAGGTAGAACGAGCCCGGTTTAGAATTTGCACACCCAGTTCAGGATTTTCCCAAGAATATTCATGACTGGGAGAGACCTGATAACCAGGTCAGCCAATGAAGAGGCATAGCAACAAGGCCAGCCAATGGGAGCTGAGAGAGCTAGGGGCCAGGGCGTGGTTTAGCCTGCAAAAGGAGTCTGTGCAAAAGGAAACAGAAACTAATCTGGCCTTGTCTCTGCTCTGAACTCTGAGATTCTCTCCTGCGTGTGTTCTGCTTGTCACTTCCACCACGTTGGAAGGCTCTGCTGTGGGTATTGTACATTTATTCATCTGTTAATATGTATATAAGGGAGTTAATGAATCCACTTGAATCATTTATGCTTTCTGGGTGTGATTTTCCTGCAACAAACTCTTGACAGACTCACCAGGATTAACTTCCCTGTAGTTGCCTATCCCGTATACGTCAACAATGTCCTGGAATCCCGAGGTGAATTTGTTGGTCCGGATCAAAGTCGGAGGAGTTTCTTTGGTCGGAATGGTGTTCATGAAGGAAGGGACAGAAGCGCCACTCTCTCGCTGGTGGCAGAAGTAGACAAACCCATATTATTATGCGCGCGGTGCCCAATTTAACGCTCTTCGTAGGATGGGTGAACCTGCCCCCCCCAAAAGAGCTGAAGCAGGGACGGTGTCAACCCTGAAGCTGTCCTGACCTGAGCCATCTTGACCACTTCCGTGTTGCCACATTGGAGCTGAGGGTCAAGGAAGGGGGGATTTGAGATAGCTGGGATTTTTTTAGCCAAAACAAACTACTTTCTCTTGGGAACCAAGGACATTCTCACACCTGGTCGGAAGAAGGCGGAATGAGCAACATCACCACCACCACCTGTTGTTGGACTGCACGGTGATTGGGCCATGGGGCTGATTGTTTTAGAGAAAGTATAAAATCTTTTACTTTTAATAAGGTGAAAACCACGGGAGTTTTCAGAGCCGCTTTTTACTAGGTTCGTGCCAATATGGTATTTCCAAATAAAATCAACGTTTCGGGAATTCAGCTGCCTCGGAGTCTTGCTTGCAATGGATCTATGACTCGGAACCCTGTCGTGTCAAGCAGGGAAGGCTGGACTTACGGATCCTTCGTCCAGCGCGCGGCGCATGTTGGGGAGGTCTGCCATGGGGCACCAGACCTCTGCAATGAGGCATTTGTTGGTGACGTCAAAGCTGCAGAGATTCAGCACGTGGTAAATAGCTTTCATCTTCTTCACCTGAACATCCCAAGTGTAGATCGATTCAGAAGCTTTGCACAGGACTTGCCGTAAATAGTCTTCGGTTTTATGCAATACCTTTGGGGGGTTTCGTTAAAAACAACAACACACATTTAGTAGAAAGGTAACATCCAAAAGGGAGCATTTCAAATAAACGAGCGGTATAATGAAATTTGGAGTATGGCAACGAATGTTAAATTAACAACATTAAATTAAATTTTAAAAAGGGATTATTAAAGCAAATGAATGAATAATAATGAAATAATGAAATATGGGGGGATTTTATAAAATCAGTGTTGCTGGAAGGCAAAGGGAATAAACCAACTCAAGAATATATGTTGCTTTAGAGGGGATAAGAGCACAATTGGAATATTATATATATAATATTATATATATATATAATATTCCAATTGTGCTCTTATCTATATAATATTCCAATTGTGCTCTTATCCCCTCTAAAGCAACATATATTCTTGAGTTGGTTTATTCCCTTTGCCTTCCAGCAACACTGATTTTATAAAATC